ACTTAAAATAACTGGAAATAATAAAAAATATAGCATGTCAAAAACAACAATCACTTAACTCTATTTTGTGTCACGTTTTTATGAATGAATATTCAGTAAGTTGCATAGTGATATTTTCATTATTCAATCGAAGTACACTTAAATAAGATGAAAATTATTTGAAGAGAATACTTAGTGAGTAAGTTCTGTTAAACTAAAAATAAGTTTATGTGTAAAACTAACCATTCAATAGCCTTATATCATTCATTGATAATATATCAATTCAAATAATATTTAATCAATATCAGAAAAAAAATACAAATAGTGTAGCGTATATAAATGACACAGCAATAGTTTTGAATAAGCATTTAAAAGTAAGCACAATGTAATGAATTCATTTGTGTTAAAAAAAAATCTGTTACATTTAAAAGGAAACTAATAAAAATTCAAGTTGTTTTAATTTGAAAAGTGAACTGTAATCAGTTATCGTAATTTTCTTATAGTAATAATATTGATCGACTGTCTACTGCATAACTGGTTGTAGATTTCATACCTTCATATACATGTTACCAGCGATACAAAAGAAGGAATGATCTACAGTTCAGCTGAAACTGTGAATTCGGTAACTTACGTCTTCTGAACACAGTTGTTTTGTTTCAATAGCGGTTACAAAAGTAAAACAAATAAAACGTATAGGTAAAAAATGCAAAAAATTCAAGTAAGATTCAATTTGAGATGATGAAAATAAATAAGGCAAATACTGATTTGCGTTACCAGCATTTCACTACGACTGAAAGTAGGTTAGTTATTTTATACCAATTTTAGAGGTTCAAGTACTTTACAGAAAGAAGGGCATACCTCCGACTTTCTGAACATGTACCAAAAAGCCTGTGTCTAGAGGGGATAAATGTTTTTAAACACTGCTATCGCCTGATATCTCCTTGACGCGGGTCATGAGGTGGACGTCGCAAAAAGAGTTCAATTCTTCTTAAATTCGTTGAAGCCATCTCCATCAAGCGCCTGAAACCCAATTTATGCGTTCAGAAAGAAGCAGTTATCAGTCTTCCTTTGCCCTGGTAACTGCATATTTTCACGCTCTGTCTCATCTGATTACGTAATACCGAACGTTTCCATTGCGTATGATCATTATTGTTAGGGATAGTGTTTATTATAATTATTTATTTATATTACTGTTGTGTGCATATATTGATTGATTGGTTTTTGTTTAAAAATCAACTCTGGATAAGTATGTTAAAATTATTTCTGTAGATATACTTAATAATGTCTTTCAGCCGTAAACAGCTGATGAGGAGCCAACGTAATAAATGATGGCATCATTTTATTCTGCAAAACTGTTGTTCTTGATTTATTCAAATTCATTAAGGGGAAAATGTACGACATTTCATGCCATAGCAGGTTGTCACATTGATCACTGTACACTAACACTATACCTAATTGACTAAGTTAAAACGTCAACTGATAATTTATTACTGTGATATGGAAGACAACAAATATCCAGAAAGAAGTGGCATTAAACGCCACGCTTTTGTGTGTGACTCGAATGAGAAGTGACAAATTGGGTATTCGAGGGTGAAACAGAGTTGATGTAAAGAGAAAATGAAAGCTTCTGTGAAGTCAGCTAATATATATATATATATAAGGAGCATAATTTCTCACAAAAGACACAGACAAATATATTGGTAGGGTAGAAACACTAAAATTAAGTTTGATAGTTGAGTAACTAAACAAAACAGAATACGGTGTGTAGGAAGTCTAATGAAGACATTGTGATGTAATACACAGAGTAGAATTCAAACGATCAGAAATAGTCTGATGTCTCAGTCAAACGAAAACTAGGGGACAAAATAAAGTGATGCCATCAGAAAACAAAGCGGTGCTCTAAGTCAGGAGTTACTAAGGTACTTTAAATCCCGCAACGGACACCTCTTGGGCAGGTAAACCAGGTTTCAGACATGTTTTATTGCTACTGCCTCGGTAAACCAAACAGTTAGGGTACTTTGTCCATTTGAATGCTGCCTTCTCTCCATTCTGTCTGTGTAACGGCTTCCGCAGATACACAGGTGGAGCATGACACTGTAATACTAAAAGATAACTTATCATCCTTAAGGTTCATTACGCTGTATTATTCTTTAAAAAATCCTAACTGGAAGACCGATTCCTGTTGATAAACAAAAGTACGTTAAAAGTGTATTACCACTTGTTTTACTAAATGTTATAGGTTGTATGCAATTGATGAAAACTGACGACCTACTACTCTGCGTCATTGTTTGTTCTTTCTCTGTTCTGATCTATAAATGGAAATTCGTTGATGAAACTGTCCACTGACAACACTCGAAAGAATTTACAAACACAATTTAAAGATTTTGGTGACATAAAGATTAAGATTCTGAGGTGTTTTTTTTTCGAATGCTTAGTCATCACACTTTTATAGTAAAAATTAGTACCATCAAAGAAGCTCACTTTTTCGAAAATTAGTCGTTTTTTCAACTCCTAACGGAGTTAACTAGAATTTTATTTAAAGCTCCACTAAAAATATTAATAACTGAATATCGACATTTTAAAATCATTTCGTAGTTTCTTTACAACCGCTTTACAACTAACATGGTTAACAATGATAAAATAAAGTTCATGAAAATTACTCAGTTAAATAAAAACAAAAGTACATACTAATGACCAATCATATTTAGATAGGTCATTAGTATGTACTTTTGCGCATCCTGGATTCCACTGCTAGCCACCATCCACCAATTGTATACAAATCAAATCCCCAGACATCGTCGAAGCATCTGCACAAGAAGCCGACATGTCAACCTGAGACCGAACACTTCGGTCCAATCAATCGACGGGAAAATCAGAAATTCAATTCAATAATTGTTAACCATGTTAGTTGTAAAGCGGTTGTAAAGAAACTACGAAATGATATCATCTCGCGAAATTTGTCTTCTTAATGCCTTATTCAAATTTATCAAAGGGACTAATTGTTTTAATTTTAAAATCAATCAACAAAAGTGTGATTAGTGGACATAACATATTGTCCGTGTGTATGCACAATTCGAAGAGGGCTGTATGCTACATACATGCGTTCCAGCCTAATAACGACCTTTTCCGTGTTAAGTAGCATAATATGGTGAGTAATATTAAGCTTAAGTGTAGAGTGCTGGGTGAGGAGATGTTGATTGATGGAGTTGTGAAGATACATCGATGAAGACGGCTAGGGCAGATGTTACTCATTCCGAGCCATCGCTTTCCACGTCGAGATATGTTAGCTGACACAGGATTAGGTTGGAAAGTAGATAGGGATAGTCGAACCATTATCTAGCATCAATTGATGAAGTCGTTGACAGTTGGTTTGAGCCACGTAGGGCGTAGACTGTTTGAGATGCTTAGAAGAAGTGGTTGGAGACTATTAGTGAAATAGCTCAAAACCTTTCTCACTAACAAATATGCATTCAATCTCTTTAATCTCCCAGATCCATTACGTCCTCATATTTCTCCATGTTACTATTCTTTCTCTCTGCCGACAACAGTTCTTTTGAATTTCTCTTTTCTCAACTATTTATACTACGCGGAGTATGACAACTTGAATTGCTGCACTTCTGTACAATGTTCCATGCTAAAACTCAGTCAGTTATATACGATATTACTTTCATAGTGTAATATATGTCTATAAACTATCGCTAAATTCATCTTACAGCTTAGAGTTTTATTTCACCTATCAAAGGCTTGTAGTGCCATCCCACTGTTGATATACATTCATCAAAGCAGACGACAAAAATTTCCTTCTAACTCATCGTTTTATGTCATAAGCATCATAAAGCTTCACGGATAAAGGGATGAGTTGTCTGTCTGTCTGTTTTCAACATAGACCTTTTCACCAATGTGCCGCAGTTCAAGTCGCCACATTCCATGTAGCACACAAAACAACAGAAGAAAGTAGAAGAAATGCATATTAGAGACAGTAAACAGAGGTGTGAGACAAAGGAAGAGTAATAACGAAGAACAAAACAGTTTCATTGGAAATCATAAGTCACAAGGAGTGGATGCATGTGCACCAGCCATTGAGAACGATTTTGAGCCATATCACCAATTGTTTCCAAACATTAGTTTTTACCATCCCGAGGACACCAACCAGTCAGGAAGTCTACACCTTCCTACGTGACTGGCTTAGACTAACTGTTGTAGGTTTCATTGACTGGTGCCATGTTTTTGATTGACCTCCGCTAGCTTTTTTCTAGCCTGATCCTATATCCGCTAATATTGTTCGTCGAGGAAGGCGATGACTAAGCATACGTAACACATGTCCTAACCGTCTCAGTCGATGTAATTTCACAGCTTCGTCGATTGATTTCCCCTCCTTACCTAAAACTAGACGCCGAACTTCAGTATTGCTCACCTTTTTATACCACTTCACACGGGAGATAGAACGCAGGCACCTATGATCAAAGACAGCTAGCCAGGCTTTTCATGATTTCCACTTCCGACAGCCAGCCATAAAGGAGGACGGAGCGGACCCGTCCTTTGGTCGATAGCCAGCCGGATATCACATCTAGACCAGAGACGGCGTAAACTGGCATATGCGAAACTAGCCCTCTGTATCCGTACTGAGATTTCGTCAGAGATCAACCCGTTGGCACTGGTTGATGGTACTTCCCAAATAAGTGAAGCGGTCAACGTACTCTACCACTTCACTCCCTATTTCTAAACTTGCAGTCAGAGTAATCCAGTCCTGTAACATCATCTTGCATTTGGCGGGAGCGAATCGCATACCAAACATTCGTAGATTGCAGCTCAAGGTGTTCAGAAGACTCTTCTCGCCTAGAAGGACTATATCGTCTGCATATTCTAAGTCAACAAGATTATTCCCTGGTAACAAGTCAATCTCTGAGTAGCTGAAGGGAGTTAGGGTTAAGTCCATTAGTACATATATGATGAAATTGAATAGAAATATGAACCAAAATTGTCTAATATACCGATCTTACTGAGGAGAAAACACCAAGCGTATAATATTCACATTATATAAGTACACATTGATTACACAGAAAAATTAATAATATAATGCACACAATTTAGATTTCATTCATGATACTTTCGCAGTACCGCTACCGCCTGCTATCTAAGTATCACACATACGCACACACACACATACATGAAGAAAGCAAGTAGAAGAAAAACACAAGTTCCAATGGCTGTGAAATAACATACAACAGCTAGGCAGGAAGAAAAGTAGTTCGACAGAAATAGCTGTTTTAAAAATTCTGGAAATTAGATAAATTGCAATAATAATAATAATAATAATAATAGGTACATAATGATTTCTAGCAAAGGAGAAATCAAGTGTACTAGAAATTAATTTAAGGTTATTACTGAATAATCATTTTTAATAGAGATGAAAGATTTGAAAACAAGGTTACAAATAAGTATACAGCATTTACATATAAGAAAAGCGAATGGTATATAAAATAGGGGGAAACATGTGTGTACTTGCGTGCGTAAGTACGTGTGTGTATATATACCCTTTGTAACATTAGTGATTTGTTTGAAATATGACAACAATGAGGCAGATAGTGAGGATGTGTAAGGCGAAGGAGCCTATGTGGAAATGTATCGATATCACAGAAATCACAATCTCTCTAGGATAGAACAACAACAATAAGAAGAAGAAAGAGAACAACAATGATGGCGACAAAAATGGCAACAACATTAGTAGTATAATAACAAATGTGTGATACAGTAATGAAGTCTTTATGCTCTCAAAAACATTGTAGAGTAGTGAATATCATGGATGTAGGTAGAGATGATGATAGTGTCAACATACACACAAAAAAATCATATTCGAATATATGTGCTTGATGAACAGAATGGGCAAATGTATATATAAATGTGTATGCGTGTGTTTGTGTGTATTTAACAGTTACAATAAACTGAGTGTTAAAATGCAACAGCCAAAAGACAGAATAGGATATATTTACTAGATATAAGAACTAAGTAAGGCAAATTATGAGTATATACGTAATATTTGCATTTTTTGAAAAAACAACTTTGGAATGAGGTAAAAAATAAACGAAAACAGTATCAGCACACTTGACGAGTAGAACAAAAAGAATAGGAAAGCAAATCACCACAAGAGTGATAAATTATTAAAGAGTATTTATAAATGTGTGATCTTAGATATAATAAATAGTACACTATAAACTACAGACTGGTTATATGCACAATTCATATGAAACAATTACACAAGCGTATATGCATGCGCGTACACTAACACGAGTATACAATGAAGGCAAACAATTAGAAGGCTTTTATGAAGAAGAAGAAGTGCTATTCTCTACATTGACGAGGTATTTTTTGTTATGGAACTTGTCCGAAAAATAGACAAAACGTATATCATCAGACGTGTCATCAGACAAACTGGGGAGCTTCACCATCTGATGAAGGAACAGGTATTCCAGGATTATACAATAGAGGACGCATATATCTAGCATTGTCTATTGGATCAAATGCAAAAATCTAAAAAAAGAAATAAAAAAGCACAGAATAAAGTTTATTAGTATGATAAGAATAAAATTATGCATTAATAATCGAAGGGATATATAGACTTCTTTACATGTATATAGTAATATATCATAACAATAGATAGCATAACAGAATCTAATATCTAATACAGACTAAAAGTGTAAACATACACAATTAAGCTGACAATAACGAGTGCCAACTGGCACGAAACCTAGGTCCAAGACTTCCTTCGAATTGCCTCCAACTATCTAATATATCATCAGATCAATGTGCACCGTGATGGTGAGCTACCTAGAATGGTGGCCACATTACAAACCTGACTGATAGAATTCAGTCCACACCAAAGAAAGGACTAGACACGTCACACCAGTTACAAGTGTCCAATCAAACTACCCACTACAGTTCTACAGGAGGTCAATCGCGAGCCTGAATAGCTCAGTTGTAACGTCTTTGACTGCACCACTGGGTGACGTGGGTTCGAATCTCAGAAGGGATATGAGTTCCTTCAAGGCTGCAGGTACGCCTTGGTGACTGGTGAGTGGCAACTAGCACGAAACCTAGTTCCAAGGCTTCCTGTGGCCGATTGCCGCCAACTATCTAAAAAAATATCAGTTCAATTTACCGAGATATATCTAGCTGCCAAATTCACATGGGAAGATGAATCCTATGGGGAAACAGCCTTCATAGATGTCTTTCTCATAAGAAGACCAGATTAGCAATAAAAAAGAAATGTACATAGATAGGATAGTATACATATTTACATAGTTTTGTTTCTACCTAGTAAAAAAGTAAACTTTGTAAGGACACTACTCAGCGTCAGGGTTACAGCTATACACCCAGAAGACGTGACTGAAAATGAACGTAAGACTGTATATTATACCTTCCCGGCCGATAATTGCTACCTTGTCATGGTGGTCGGGCCCCCCTCCCAACATGCAAAACTGACTGGGACTCTGTCCCTGCAGGTCCTACCATGTCAGGAAGGTTGTTTGGATAGAGGTTAAACTAAAAGCAGTTACCATGGGGTACATGGGCTCCAGAATCCAATCGGATCAAATGGTGTATGAATCCATATGGGTCACCGGGATCCACGGGAATACAGCTCCTGACGCTGCTCCGCTGCCTTGCGGATTAGACTCCAAGTCAGAGGATCGGCGGGTGGTCCCTTAATAAAACCACCTACTTCGGTGTGGGCGCCCGGGTAGTATCTCAGCCCTCACACAATGAAATGAATGAAGCAACAAACAATCAATGAAACTTATCGCGTGCTATTACACGTGTTGCAATTTCTTTCTTCCTTCCCTTCCCGATGATAGTTAACGAACACTGTTTGAACTTGTTAAGCATGACTGTTTTCCTTCCAGATGAAGTTCTTTATCTGTTCTCTACTTATGTATATATATTTCTCTTCTTTCTTTTGATATATGTTGTTTTATTTTATTATTATTGGGTGGCGCATCCTTCTTGGTGCCATATTGTACCAAGGTTTTATGCGTTTAAATAAATATAAATAAATAAATATGATACCTTAATTGAGAATATTCATCTAGAAAAGTTCATAAGAAAACATATGGTCAAGAAAGTCGAAAAAAGTTGTTTTTATCTATAAACAAGAAGCCTATTTATGCATATACAATTCGAAGTTGACGTGCCAAGTAAAGATATAAACCAACAAGTTAGAAAAATCAATTCAAAGAACTTTAAGTGTTTGTAAGCCACAGCTCACATTTCTGGTTGTGATCTTGTAACTAGGCTAGCCGCCTTTTCTTATATCTATTGATTCAATTGCTTATGTAGAGCCATTTATATCGGCTGTTGTTTTAGGAACCTAAATGTTTGTGTTCGGGAGCACCTATGAGTGCGGGTAAATAAAGGAGCAGTACAAACCACTAACAGTTCGATGCTATATTACATAGTTCAAACTGTCTGTCTGTCTGTTTTCGACATAGAACTTTGCACAAATGTGCGGAAGTTCAAGTCGCCACATTCCGTGTAGCACGCGAAGCAAGAGAAGAAAGTACAAGAAAAGCATAATAGAAACAGTGAGCAGAGGTGTGAGACAAAGGAGTAATAAAGAAATACAAAACAGTTTCATTGAAGATCATAAGTCACAGGAGTGGATGCATCTGCGCCACTGAGAACGATTTTGAGCCATGTCACCAATTGTTTCCAACCATACATTTTTACCGTCCCGAGGACTGATAGGATCCCACATATTTTGGTATTGACTGTTTAAACTTGCATAAATGGTATGTTATCATTCTCACACATTTTGGTATTGACTGCTAATTTTGTATATTATCATTCACACGCATTTTGGTAGTGACTGCTAATTTTGTATATATGGTATATCATTCCCACACATTTTGTTACTGACTGTCAATGTCGCACATATGGCATATTATGATTTCTCACACACTTTGTTATTGGCTATTAAGGTCAATTATTTCAAATGCTGTTAGCTGTCCATATTGTTGTAAAATGTATAAATACCATGGCTTTCTTTATCGTTGTTGCACTTCAATACACAGTCACAGTCCAGCCTTTGTCTTTTGATATTTGCGTGCTTTACTAAGTCGGAAGGTACGACGAGCAGATAGACAGATTAGTTCAGGCGCAGACAGAATAAGGTGAAAACGTCTTCATTCAATTCCCTACAGTTATAACAAATTGGCGACGGGGTTTTACCTTAATTCAGTACAGTTATAACAATTGGCGACGGGGATTTACTTAATTCATCGCAGTTATAACAAGCAAACGACGACAGTTTTTATTCTGTTCAGCGCAACTATATAACATTTTTGACTGTGTTAATTACAACCCAATTACAATGTCTATCTCTCTGGACGATCTCAAATCTATCTTGCAGCAGCAGCAAGTTCAGAATGAAGCAGCTCAACTAAAATTAATCGAAGCTCTCACTCAGAAGCTGTCCATTCAAGTTCCATCAACATCTCATTCTGACAAATATGAAAGCATCTCAAATTCCATCAGTGAGTTCAACTACGACCCAATATCTGGTCTCGTATTTGATGCATGGTTCAATCGTTACGAAGACGTCTTCCGTATTGAATGCTACATGTTTGATGATGCTGCCAAAGTCCGATTGTTACTAAGAAAACTTGGTACTGTTGAGCACAACAGATATGTTAACTTCATTCTGCCTAAGAACCCACGTGAGTTATCATTCGATGAGACAGTCACCGTTTTATCACAAATCTTTGGTGAACAGTCATCCATGTTTAATATTCGGTATCAATGTTTTCAGTTGACAAAAATGCCTTCCGATGATTATGTGACTTACGCTGGCAAAGTGAACAAGGAATGTGAAAGGTTCAAACCACACGAAATGACATCAGATCAGTTCAAGTGTTTGATTTTTATTTGTGGGTTGAAGAACCCAGAAGATACTGACATACGAACTCGACTTCTGTCACTTGTGGAACAAGACCCGAAAATGACTTTACAAATGGTGACAGCAGAATGCCTACGTTTAATCAACTTGAAGCACGATACTGCTATGGTGGAGTGCAAACGACAGTCGTCGGAATTTGGTTCGATTAACACAGTGAAAAGTCCTCCGATCACCGTTAAGCACACAGAACGTCAGTCTCAAAATTCAGCTAAACCTCCTTCAGTGTGCTGGCACTGTGGTTCGTGGCATTTTGTCAAGTTCTGTCCTTTCAAGAAGCATAAGTGCCGTAATTGTCACCGTTTTGGACATAAGGAGGGTTACTGTCCACCGCAGAAAAATCCTTCGGTGAGGAACAGAAGTAGTCGTTTCGAGCCGAAACAATCTCCTCGAGTACAGACTATTTATACAACTTCCAAAGTCGATGTCGCCAGCAAACGTAAGTACATAACACTAGATATTAATGGCAAACGTATTCGTCTTCAGTTGGATACGGCATCAGATATCACCGTAATTTCCCGAACTACGTGGCGCAAACTTGGTTGCCCACAGATTCTGCCGACCGAGCATTTCGCCAAGAATGTCTCTGGAGATATACTGAAACTCGTGGGTGAGATCAATTGCCAGGTTCAGTTTGGTGAGCATCACTTCAATGGTGTATGTTACGTTACAAACTACCATGATTTGGATTTGCTTGGTCTTGACTGGTTAGACAAGCTCCATATCTTTAATGTACCATTAAATTCAGTATGCTCTAATGTTTCGTCTTCACCACACAACGTTGTTCCCGGAGATGTATCTGATCAATCTCTCTTGCAACGCCGTCGTCAAAAGCACGCTTCTGTCTTTCAGGACAAACTTGGTTGCTGCAAACTGTTTGGCATCCAGCATATTCGTAGCCCCCCGTATCATCCCCACTCGAATGGACAGACTGAACGTTTCGTCGACACCCTTAAGCGTGCTTATGCAAAAGCGAAGGGGGAGGGAACAACAGAAAAATTTTGGATAAATTCTTGCTGCATTATCGTACAAATGAAAAAGGACAGTTATGTGGCAGACACACAGATCACGCTCTATCCAGTACCACGCAAAGGTCAACTCGACAAAGAAGAGCTCCGAAACCTTTGCAAATAGATCCAAAAAGCAAGTCCTACACTCTTTACGGGGGGAGGTGATAGGATCCCACATATTTTGGTATTGACTGTTTAAACTTGCATATATGGTATGTTATCATTCTCACACATTTTGGTATTGACTGCTAATTTTGTATATTATCATTCTCACGCATTTTGGTAGTGACTGCTAATTTTGTATATATGGTATATCATTCCCACACATTTTGTTACTGACTGTCAATGTCGCACATATGGCATATTATGATTTCTCACACACTTTGTTATTGGCTATTAAGGTCAATTATTTCAAATGCTGTTAGCTGTCCATATTGTTGTAAAATGTATAAATACCATGGCTTTCTTTATCGTTGTTGCACTTCAATACACAGTCACAGTCCAGCCTTTGTCTTTTGATATTTGCGTGCTTTACTAAGTCGGAAGGTACGACGAGCAGATAGACAGATTAG